TGGACTTGCCCACGTGAAGTCTCAGCTGCAGAAGAGACACACGTGCACACACCTGGGTGAACTGCGCAGCTACCTTGGCTTGCACATCACCCGGGACAGAGCACAACGCACCATTACCCTGACTCAGTCACACATGGTGCAGCAGGTCCTTCAGCGCTTCGACTTCACGTACTCCTCGCCTCAAGCCACTCCTCTGTCTACTCGCCACTCGCTTTCAGCTCTGCCTTCGGATGAGTCCATAGAGCCAAGTGGCCCATACCCAAAGCTTGTTGGCTGTCTCATGTACCTGATGACCTGCACACGACCTGACCTTGCATACCCTCTTAGCATCTTGGCACGCTATGTTGCTCCTGGGAGACACCGACCAGAGCACATGGCTGCAGCGAAGAGGGTGTTGCGCTACTTGTGCAGTACGTCGAGCATGGGGCTAGTGCTTGGAGGGCGCGTCAAGTGGTCCTCACAGGTCACGCTGACGCTTCTTGGGCTGACGACCAGGCTCTGCAGCGGTCGTCACAAGGTTACACCTTCAGCCTTGGCTCCGGCTCTGTTTCGTGGCGGTCTACTTGCTCGTCTTCTGTTCTCAGCTCCAGCTGTGAGGCTGAGATCTACGCGGGGGCCATGGCTGCACAGGAGCTACGCTGGCTCACCTACCTGCTTACTGACCTAGGAGAGCCGCCTCGTTCTCCACCAGTTCTGTACGTAGACAACAAGGCCATGCTGGCCTTGTGACGGGAGCACAGATTGGAGCACAGAACGAAGCACATTGCTCTTCGCTACTTCCTTGCTCGTGAGCTGCAGCAGCGTGGTCAGCTGCGCCTTGCTTACGTGGGCTCTGAGGCCAACACTGCTGATATCTTCACCAAGGCACTTCCGCCTTGTGATCATCAGCTCTTTTGTAAGATGCTAGGTCTTGTGCCTACTTGGCCTGACTTGCTCACTTCTTGACCTTGCTTGTATTGTGATCTTTCTATACCTGCACTTGCTTGTTTACCTATGTATATGATCTTGCATGTGAACTGGCCTTATGGCCTTGCTCTTGTGCTCGGACTGTGTGGTGACGTTGTGATCCACCCTGAGCTTGCTTTGCTTTGCTTGACTGATCTTCTGACCTCTTGTTCTCCCCCACTTTGCCTATGGGGGTGTGTCAAACTCTTATGTTTTAGTCTGTGTAGGCTGTAGTGGGGTAGACAATATGGGGTTCCACACTTCTAGGTTTTCCTACTTGTACCCACCTGCTTGCTAGTTCATTCATTCCTCATTCTTTACATATACTGTAGCGCCGCATCCGACACCCCATTCGTCCAGTAAAGGCACACCCGGTGTGTCCTGCTTCCCGTTTGCGCCCCATCCACCACGACGCCCGGGCCTAAGACTGCCGTCACTTCCTCCTGTGCCACGTGGATCTGTTCCCTCAGATCCCCTTCCATGTCCACGTTTTCCAAGATGTAAAGAACTTCTCCTGGCATGTGCCTCATTTACCGCAGCACGATGTAAAGAACTGAATCTGCGCAATCAATTAAACTGAACTGCAAAGCTTACATCTTAGGTTCCTTTGCGAGCTCGTCTTTTCTGCTTGCGCTGTTCAAAGCGCGTACAATGTTGTGCCGAAGCACACATTGCGCGAGTACATGCAAATGCTTCAAGCAAAAATTGCGAAAACAAACAAACACACGAACACACCATTCACAGGCAAATGCATTCGCACACACATACTTGTACAAACGGACGGCAGGATGTCGTGCAAAGTGAATTCGCACCCAACACACTCCCCCTCAGCCTGCGAGCTGCATTTTCATCATTCCACACTAGTTCATGCTCATCCCACTCATTCGCACACAACGCCAATGAGGCTCATCCGCAAGCCTCTTGGTGAGGAAGTCTGCTGGCTGCTGGTGAGTCTTGATGTAGCTCGGATTCACCGTCCCCCTCTTCACCTCCTTACGCAGCCAGTGTCATTTGATACGCATGTGCTTGTTCAGCTCATGAAGCACAGAGTTCCTGGCTATCACAAAACAGCGGCGTAACAACCTTTTGCTCCTGACCAATCTCCTCTAATAGCCTCCTCAGCCAAATCACCTCCTTCACCCCATCGAACATTGCCATGTACTCTGATTCGACGGAAGAGAGTGCCGTCTTTGTCTGCTTCTTGGACCTCCAACTAACAGGTCCTCCCCCAACTACGCAGATGTATCCTCCCACAGATGAGGAATCCCCCTTCTCAGAAGCCCAAGTTGCATCGGTAAAGCAAGTGAGAAAAAGCTTTCCTTCTCCAAGCCTCTCCCCCTTCTCTTTCATCAGATCAACCCCTTTCTGCTTCACCTATGCAGATGCGGAATATTGAACTCCAATGCTTGGGTGAGAGTTCAAATACTTCACCACGCGCTCCGCTGCATCCACCTGCTCCTCTGATGGATTCTGCACCACCCTAGCTAGCTACCCAACTGAGAAAGAGATATCGGGCCTTGAGTGAACCGCTGCATACAAGAGGCTGCCCGCCAAGGACTGAAATTGCTGCTGCTTCTCGGCTTCAACCCCTTCATCCTTTGCAGCCTTCACAAGCTTAAACTTTGCTGGCAGGGGGGTTGCAACCTTGCGCTCATTCTTAACCCCATACTTCTCCCCCAACTCTTTGATGAACTTCTCCTGGTGCAGCTTCAACCATCTGTGATCCAGATCCCTCTCCACGTGCATCCTCAGGTAATACTTTACCTCCCCAAGGTTCTTGCACTTGAAGTTCTCCATTAGCTGCTGCTGCACTTTCCAAATCTCTTTCATGCGGTTGATGAAGAGAAGAATGCCGTCCACGTAGACCAGAAACAGCACCAGCCTCCCCCCCTCCCCCTTGAGAAAGAGGCTCTCATCACAGCTGCTGGTCTTGAATCTTATCTCCTCTAAAACAGCTGCTAACTTTTGGTACCAGCAGCGTGGTGCCTGCTTCAAGCCAAATATGCACACCCTGCACGTACCATCCTCATACCCAGGCGACCGCGTCATGTACACATCCTCCTCTAAAATCCCATTGAGAAATGTTGTTGATAAATCCATGTGAATGATGAATTTCCCACTAACAAGACATGGAGGGTAGGGGGTCTGGCAGTGGAAGCAAAGATCTTGGTAAAGTCCTGCTTCTACTTCTGCATAAACCCCTTAGCCACCAGCCTACTCTTGTAGATGTTGACCTGCCCCTTGTAATCGGTCTTGATCCTCAGCACCCACTTGCACTGTACGGCTTTCTTTGTGAAGAGAATGAGGAATGATGGACTAGGAAATGAGTTGGGAACAAATATGTAACCCTACAAAACTGTACCCCATACTGTATACCCCACTACAGCCTAGAAAGACTATAGCATAAATGTTTGACACACCCCCATAGGCAAAGTGGGGGAGAACAAGGGGTCACAAGACCAGTCAAGCAAGGCAAGCTCAGGGTGGATCACAACGTCACCACATATTCTGAGCACAAGTCAAAAGGCCACAAGGCCAGTTCACATGCAGGATTATATATAAAGGTAAACAAGCAAGTGCAGGTATAAATAGATAACAGTACAAGCAAGGTCAAGAAGTGAGCAAGTGAGGCCAAGTAGGCACAAGACCTAGCATCGTACAAAAGCGCTGATGATCACAAGGGTGAAGCGCCTTGGTAAAGATATTCAGCACCCCCAGAAGTATCACATATTCTGACTAGCCTGATCCTCAGCCCAAGAAGCGTCAGCGTGACCAATGAGGACCATTGAACGCCGCCCTCCAAGCACGAGCCCCATGCCCGACGTACTGCTCTAAGGAAGGAGCGGGACCAGTAGAGGGCGGAGGGCCAAGAACCTGCTCAAGGAGCAGAACAAAGTACGGCCGCGGCCGTGCAGCGCCTCCAGAACCAGCAGGTACAGCACCAGCACCCCCAGCGGCAGCACCTGCGCCAGTAGCACCCCCAGCTCCAGCAGCGCCAATTCCAGCACCCCCAGAAGCACTAGCGCCAGCAGCACCTACAGCGCCAACGCCCCCAGCAGCTCCAGCTCGAGCAGGACCACCGGAAGACTCAATAGCTCCAACTCCAGTAGCTCCAGTAGCACCTACCCTAGCAGCACCGCCAGCTCCAGCACCTCCAGCAGCTCCACTACAAGGAGTACCCCCAGTCCCACCAGCTCCAGTACCTCCAGTACGAGCACCTCTGGGACACGTGGCACCAACACCCTCAGCAGCAGCAGAACCTCCAGCTCCAGCAGCACGTCCAGCTCCAGCAGCACGGCTCCAGCGCCGAGCAAACCACTCACGCAACTCATGGGGAGAGGGTAGCTCCCGCCGAATCGAAGCACCCGAAGGACCTCCAGCCCCAGTACCGCCAGACTCCACATGAGCAGGCCCAGCACCCTCAGGCTCCACACCCCCAGTCGTAGCACCCCCAGGCTCAGCACCCCCAGACGCAGCACCCCCAGGCTCAGTAGCCCCAGGCTCCGCACGCACTGTCACCGCATATGCACTTAATGCATATGCAATAACAGAAGAATGATGGTAAAGTGTGGGCGTCATACTAAGTCCATAAGAAGATGAGATAGGAATGAGAATATAAGTAATAGGTGTAGGATGTAGCGAAGTTACTGTTAGGAGCGAGGTTGTAGAAGGGGGGAAACAGGATAAGAGCGGTTGCGATAAGAAGGGGGAAAGACTTCGTAGGGCGAAATGTGAAACCAATGAACCCCAACCCCGAGCTGCACATTTGGAAATGTGCAGCCAGGGGTGGGGTAAGGTCACTCACCTCCAACCCATCGATGCTTTCTTGTTGTTATTCTCTTACACTAGTGAATTTGATTGTCTCAGGCTCTAGCACACGACAGCACACTAAGAGGGAACCTACGGGGTGAGAGACCAGCTTCTTTCATAACAACGAGAAAGGGACACGGGGGCTAGGACTGTAACTTCCGAGCACGAACGAGATGGATCGATACGGGCTGCGCTGGGGTAGGGCGTATAGCCGACGGGAGGAGGAGCTGGAGCGCCGAGAGCCGTCATGAGAGCGTGGGCGATCCATGGAGCGATCGCCGCGCCGTCCCGCCTTCCGCGCCGATCTGGTCCCTGCTGTGAGGGACGGTCAAGTAGCAGATACGCGAGGGAATGACAAAGGACACGCCGAACGCGCGGATCGAAATGCGTGGCTCCAGGGGAGTGGACGCGGACCTGGCGCGGAGGGCGGAAACCACCGCGGCGGAAGGTTGTTCCGCTCCCCGGAGGAGCGCGGACGACGTCGCGACGAGAGAGGGCGGTGGTTGGCGTTCGGCGAGCGGTCTCGCGGACAAGGAGGGAGCGGCGGTAGCGTCGCTCGCGGAGAGAACTCGCCGCGCAATGCAGTTCAAGAAGAGACGCCGGAGCAGGGCGCGGAGGACGAGGAGGAAGGGGCGAATGAGGCGCGAACAGGAGGAACGGGCGGTGCGGCAACCGAGCCGACAAGAGGCGCAAGCGGAGACGAGCCCGGTGGCGGTCGCGTAATTAGAGGCCCCGCCGCCGGGATCGCGTGGTCGAGACGATCCCCACGAGGAAGGGCGGCGCACGGAGAGCTCCTGACGGCAGGAGCTGGGCGGGCCAGAGATGAGCCATCGAGCATGGCAGGCGCCGAATCCGCGCGGCAAGGGGAAGAAGGAGCGGTCCCGCTCGGCGGAGAGGGAGCGGCGCCTCGGGGGAGGGCGTGTGGGCGAGTTCCGCCCGCGCGGCGAGCGCCAGGAGCAAGGAGAGTGGAGCGGCGTCGATGCGCATTCGGCAGGACGGTAGCAGCCGCACGGTGAGAGGGGGCGAGAGGCGGAAACAGCGTCGCCGAAGCGGCACGATCAGCAGCAATGGAGACGCAGCAGCACCATGCGCTCGCCAGGCCGGACTAGGCAGAGGGAGCGGAGAGACAGCAGCTGGTCCCGTTCGCCGGACGGACAACACACACGCAGGGAGAAGTACGCGGGGGAGCAGTCACCGCGGCGTCAGCCGCGCACTTGGAGGGAGCACTTGGACGCCTGTTCACCATCGCCAGAGAGGCGGCCGCGACGCGAGATGAGCAGATGAGAGGAGCGGGAGGTGCACGGACCGCCGTTGGTGCAGTGGGGATGGACAGAGGGGCGAGGAGGATCGAGGGAGAGGCGGTACGAGGCAGGCGGAAGTCGCCAAGAGAGCAGAACGGAAGGCGGAACTCTGGCGCAAGGGACGGAGCGGGCGCGGGAAGCCAGAGAGGGCATGCGGAGGGCACGGGCGAGGGGAACAGAGAGGAGGCGGCAGGAAGGGGCCAGCGAGGCATGGGGAGAGGGGCGTGGGGGCAGCAACGGCGCCCCGCGGGTGGAGGTGCCCGCCAGATTCTCAGGTGACCAGCGTGCAGGACCGACCCTCAAGAACTACCTCATGCAGGTGGGGAATGTGCGGTACCGCTGCGACCGGCACCACACGGATCCAGTAGACTTCTTCCTGAGCCTGCCGAACACGCTTGAGGGAGAGGCCGAGACGCTCTACCGTATGAGGATGGAGGAACTGCTGTGGAGGGCGGGGAGGTACGGCGAGGACCCCACCGAGGCATTCCTGGAGAGGCTGTAGCAGCAATTCCCAGGGCACACGGCCGAGCGCATAAGGGAGTTCCAGAAATTCAGCAGGGGCCGGACTGAATCATTGCTGACCTACTACAACCGGCTGATAAATGTGGCTGAGGACGTGAGATGCACAGACAGCGGCCTTCTCGTCAGCAAGTTCCTGGGGGGCTTGGACGAGGCCTTAGGAGGGGGGCTGAGGATGAGGGTGCATGAGCTCGGAGCGGATGCAAGCCTGGAAGAGGTATTCGCCCTGGCGGAGAGGGTGGAGCTCGCGCAAAGGAAATTCGAGACATATCTCCCCAGGCCAGCAAAGAGTAGGCGGCCAACGTGGGCGGCGGCCATAATACCGGGAGGAGGAGGGAGAATGGAGGGACGAGGGGAGACTGGGGCGGATACCAAGACATGCCACAGGTGTGGACAGCCGGGCCATCTGCGCAGGGACTGCAAAAACTGTGATGGGTGCGGGAAGCCGGGGCATAGGAAGCGGGAATGCCTGGATGCAGCCCGGTGTGAAATCTGCAAAAGGCAGGGACATGAGGCGAAGGATTGCTACCAGAGGGAAGGGGGGAGCAGGAGGCATCCAGAGGAACTGCAGCGGCAGATTAACAGGTTGCAAGCACAGCTGAGGGCAACAGGGCTGAAGGGGGAGGCGGAGGTAGGAATGTACGTGGGAGAAGGGGGGGGAGAGGAGGTGGAGCAGGACGTGCAGTGTGCTCTCATGGCATGGAGGGGGAGAGAGGAGATGGGGCTGAGAAGCGGGGGAAGAGATGGCAGGCGAGAGCAAGGAAGGAAGGAGCAGGTGAAGGGAGAAGCGCCATCCGAGCCAGCCCAAGAGCCAGCCCCCGCATGCCACCCCCAAGAGAGGCTAGCATGTGTCGGAGAACCTTCTTCCTCTCAGCCGCCGCTCTTCTTCATGCACCTCCTCTTCACCCTGCACCTGCTCTTCACCCTGCACCTGCTCTTCTTCCTGCAGACTCTCCTGTTCCTCCTTCTCCATGTTGCATAGCCTCACTTACCCACTGCCCCCTCCTGTGCTCGTGCTCTAGCTGCCTGAGCCCGAGTCACAGGACCCGCTTGGTGAGGCTCGCTCCCCCTCACCATGGCCGTGTTGCTCTGGTGTTCCTTCAGGAGTGCCCCTGTGTCATTTTCCAGAACCAACACCCCTGAGGGACGGACCTCCTTCACCCTCCACCTCTCCGTGCCCACCCCAACATCCAGCGTGTCTTGCTTTGCCCGCTTCAAGTACACTTCCTGCCCCTGACTCACTCCCTTCATGGGTCTGCCCCCTGCCCCTTGCTGTTGCCTCTGCTCATATCTCCGAGCATCCCGCAGCTGCGCGGTGTGGAGATTCTCCAATGCCGCTGGCATCATCACTCGTAGGTATCTTGCCCTGGTCTCGGACAGCGCCACCCAGTTCTCTATCGTCCCTGCAGTCACAGTGTCTGTGAGGACCCGGGTTGCTCCCACCGGCAGCAGCGGCTCACACCCAGATAGGAGACTATAAGGGGAGTGATCTCTCAGCGCCGCCTGCTTCCCAAACCTGTACCGTGCTGCTATCCAATGCAGCTCCTCGTCCCAGTCCCGCTTCCTCTTTTCCCCGTACGCTCGCAGTCCCTACTTCAAGGTCTGGACCAGTCGCTCAGTCAGCCCATCGCTCTGTGGGTGGTACCGCGAAGTGCGCTTGTGGGTGATCCCAGTCTCCTCCAGCAGCCCCTTAAACTCCCCCTGGAACTCTGTCCCTTGATCTGTTAGGACCTCTGCACATGCCCCGAACCTGCACAACACTTGCTCCTTGAACGTTGCTGCCACGTGTCTGGAGCTCTTGCTCGGGATCGCTCTTACCTCCAGCCACTTGCTCACATGTTCGACCATGAGCACTATGTACTGCTTCCCCCCACGGCTCAGTGGCAGCTCCCCCGCCAGGTCTAAGGACCATCGGAAGCCGAGGCCTCGGATGGGCAGCGACTGCAACTCCGCCTTGGCTTGGGTGAGGTTTGCCCTGCTCCTTTGGCATGCCTCACAGCCCTCCACCCACCCCTTTACTTGCCTTCGCATCCCCTCCCACCACCACCCTGTCTTCAACAGCTGCACTGTCCTCTCGTGCTCAAAGTGCCCTAGCTTGGTGTGGACTTTCTTAATCACTGCTTCTCTCTCACTTGGAGCCGGCACCAGCTTCCATCCGTCCTCTGTCTGCACCTGCAACTGCTGCTGGTACCACCGGTAGTGCTGGCCCCTTGCCCTTACCCGTGCCGGTAGCGCTTCATCCTCTCCCGTCTCTCCCTTTACCCATCGCAGGGCCGGCCCGTCCTCCCATATGTCTGCTGGCCCCTTCCCCTCCTTGGCCCTGTTCTGCTCCACTAATCTGGCCAGCAGTGTCAAGGTTACAGTGGGCTCAAGCGGTGGGGGGTTCCGTGAGAGGCCATCTACGTATTGCAGTGTCTTTCCTGGCCTATGCCTGATCTTGAAGTCATACTCTTGCAGCTTCATCGCCCATCTTGCATTCCTGCCTGTCAGTCCCGGGGTTGACATCAGCCACGTCAGGGGTTGGTGGTCTGTTACTAAGGTGAATTCCCTCCCCTGCAGATACACCCTGAAATGCCCTACTGCCCATACGGCTCCGATGTAGGAGCTGTACTGCGCCTCTGCCGAGTTGCAGCTCGGGCTCGCATATGCCACTACCTTCTCCTCTCTTTCTACCTCCTGGCAGAGAATCCCCCCCATCCCTTGGCTGCTCCAATCGGTGTAAAGCGTGAACGGCTGATCAGCGGCGGGCAGCTTGAGCACCGTCGCGGTCTTCACTGCTGCCATCAGGTCCTGCAGCGCCCCTTTCTGTGCTTCCCCCCACTCCCACGCCTGATCCTCCCGCAATAGCACATTCAACACCGCTGCTCACTTGCTGAAGTTGGGCACAAACCGCCTGTAGTAGCTCAAGGAGCCCAGCACTTCTCTCAGCCCTGACTTGTCCCTCGGCTCCCTCAGTCTGTCCAGGACTTCCACCTTGGCCTGTTGGATCCCTATTTGTCCCCCTTTCACCTCATACCCTAGGTACTGCACCGTCTGTTCCCCCCATCTGCACTTCTTCGGATGGCAGGTGAGTCCCGCCGCTTCAATCGCCGCTAGGGTCCGCTCCACATCCTGCAGGTGCTGCTGCTCTGTGGTGCTGAAGATTACCACATCATCAATATAGCAGGCTGCGCACTCCACTCCACGCAGCACGCTGTCCATGACCCTCTGGAATACTGCTGATGCGTTCCTCACTCCAAACGGCATGTACAACCACTCCTACAGCCCGTCCGGCCCATGAAAGGCCGTCTTCCTAACGTCCTCCTTTCTGATTTTGATCTGGTTGAGCCCCTGCCGCAGGTCCAGAGTAGTGAAGAACACCCCCTCTGCCAATTTGTCAAAGATCTCCTCCGCCATCGGCATCGGGCACCTGTCTGCTACGGTGATTTTGTTGAGTGCCCTGTAGTCTCCACACATTCTCCTGCTTAGCATCTCCCCTGTCAGGTCTCTCCTGGCTGCCACCACTATGGGTGTGGCATACTCGGACTCTGATCTCCTAATCATTCCTGCTTCCAGCAGCTTCTTGATCTTCTCCTTGCAGGTCTCCTCATCCCCAGGCGGCATCTTCCTCCTGCACTGGAACACTGGTTCTGTGCTGCTCAGCTTCAGCTCCATCTCCTTCACCTTGCACCTTCCCAGTTCCTGCATGGTGAAGGCAAAACACTTCCTGTGCCTGGCGAGCAGCTTCTGCATGGCCTCCTTTCCCTCCTTGCTCATCCCTTCCCCCACCATCCAGCTCCCCTCCTCCTTCTCTTGGCAGCTCCATGCACCCCGTGGTTCCGCCTCCATCCTTCCTCTCTCTTCCGCCTGCCCCCAGCTCACGACCGTCTCCCGCCACATCCGCTGAATCAGCCACCTCATCACGTGGCCATCCATTGTATTCCCCAGAGCCCTCCTCCTGTTCGCTTCACTTGCCCCAGGCGCTGCTGTTGCGTCTTCCCCGTATCCCATAGCCAGCTCCCGCTCCAGTGCCGTGGGCTCCTCCCATCTCCCCTTCTTTAGGTCATACACCATTCCTGGCCCCGGCTTCCCTGCTTCCCACTTGTACCCTGCTGCCCCGACATACGCCACCAGCGTGGGCAGAGCCCTCCTCTCCTGCCCCACTTGGTTACACTGCTTGTGCCTGCTGTAGCTCTTGCGATACACTGGTGCTGGGGTCCGCCCTGGTTCCAGGATATCCTTCACCTTCCTTTCTGCTGCTCGCCTTACCCCCTCCATCTCTGCCTGCAGTTGCTTGGCAGGGACCACATTCTGCCAGTACATTCTGAGCCGGTGCGCGTAGGACCCCATTCTGGCCACATCACAGCTCACCCCTTCTCCCAGTTGTCCCCTGGTCCTGTCCCTCACCAGTCGGATTGGCTCTCTGCTATCCCCCTCCAGGTCCAGGTTCTCTAGCAAGTATGCCACCCTGCCCTGCCTCTCCTACAGCCACTCCATGATTCGGAACAGATCCTCCAGCAGCCCCGCCCTATGATCTTCTCCTCCCTTGCCCCTGCCTGCCCAAGAAACCCCTTGGCATTCCCACCCTGCCATCAGCAGATCCACCTGCCCCCAGCTCGCTACTTCGGCCTCACCTATGTCTTTCACATCGTGAATCGTCCCCCCCGTCGCCTTGCTGATCACCTCCTCACTCAGCAGGTCGGAGAATTCCGCT